CGGAGATTTGTGGTTTAAAAACAGAAAAATCGAACTTGTTAACCGAAACGCTCCTCTGTGGCTCAATCGGTAAAAACACGTCAGGCTATATGACGGTTCCGTATATAATACAGTTTCGATTCCTGTCGCAGGACGCATATCTACTAGGAAAATTTCTTGGACATTCAGGTCAGTAAATGTTTTTAATACTGTTTATTATAAATAGAGCATTTACTTAAATATTTGTATGTATAAAAAGAACGTATAAACATAAAAAATGTCTTAATATATATATATATATATATATATATATATATATATATATATATATATATATATATATATGTATGATGAAATGGAGTAATTCCGACAATTATTTTAATATATTTATACGATATTTTTTATTCATACAAATATTTAAGTAAATGTTCTGTTTATATTAAACAGTATTAACAACATTTACCGTCCTGAATGTACGAGAAACGTCATAGAAAATATATGTCCTCCGACAGGCATCGAACCTCTAGTCTACGCGGAACCGTCATATAGTCTGACGTCCTATAAGATTTAGCTACAGAGGAAGCGTCTGGTAATATTTAACAGTTCCCCCACCACTATCATGGGAGATGTGCATAAACGAGTTCAGGGATTGTCTACCTCCCTGGACGAAACTTTGCCCTTCGGAAAGCCTCGTCCGGGTTCCTCTCTGCCCGAAGGCAGAGAGTTCGACATCGCAGGTGGAAGAGATTCCAACTGGTCTCCGAGGAAGCGGCTGGTTAGTAAGTGAATTGCTGCTTTTAAACTATATGATTTCCATGTTTTTAAAATTAATGATACTCCCTATATATTTAGGTAGTGATATTTCTTTTAAACCTATTTCATTGAATATGACAGACATGAAAAATTGATTGATTTTTTATTTAGCACTCCCAACATTACATCTTTCTGTTTGGTGGGAGAAAGAGATGCAAAAAATTGTCCGTTGTCCCAAAAGAGTTTTGCCGCTTTTTCAGAATTGTTTTAAGCTGTTTTTAATTTCTTTTCATGGTTGATCGTTTAAGATATATTTTTTGTGTTCTTTGAATATTAGCAGGACCGTGTATTCTTAGCTCTGTAATTTGAATTGGCGCCATTTCTTTTTTATTAAAAAAAAAAAATGAACACACCATTTCTGCTGGTGAATAAGGTGAGATTTATACTGGGTGTCATATGTTTTATATAAAGGGCCACTCTCAAAGCGAGATGCTTTCAGTAATATGACCAGTATAAATGCCATTATATATATATATATATATATATATATATATATATATATATATATATATATTAGTTTGTAACTTAATAAGAATGGGATATATTATTGTATATTAGCCAAATAATGTTTATTTTCTCAACAATATCCTTCCTTCTTGGAATGCTTAATCTAATACTCTTCCGTTAATTAAATCGAACATTATACAATGAAACTTTTAGATCAAAATTCAGAAAATAACTGTTATTTGATTAGAACCGAATAGTTAGACGACTCTTACATATAATGTTATTATTATGCTATTAATAATATATTGTTATTATAATCTTATAATTTATTTTAATAATTTATTATATATAATTATATATATATATAACATATATATAATAAGGATATATAATAAATAATTAAATAATAACAATTATATATAATAATCTCTATCTATAAAAGGCACGATGTGTGTACGTGTGTGTATGTGTGTAACAAATGCACGGCCGCAATTTTCGACGAATTTGCACCAAAATTTACATGCACATGCTCCAAGTTAGCGGGAAGGTCAAGACTGACTTTGCATTTCCCAACACCCATCGAGAGTGGGAATAATCGATTTTTTCATGCTTCTACGGCAGTTTTCATGTAGTTTGTGGCCATTTTGTACTGGCCAGAGTGAGAGTCAATAGCTGGCTGCCACAAATAGGCAGGAAGATTTCTATTGGCCAGCGTGAGAGCCAACAGCCGACTGCCACGAATGTTAACTAGCATGCTAGCATGAAAAAAATCGATAGCTGCATTCGTCACAAGTGGGAAAATTTTAAATCTGCATGGCACTTTACTCCAATTGGCTCATTCGCTTGCTTAAACTCAACGTTGGTTCTGATTCCGCAGAACTGGGTTGGGTGTGAAAAAATAATTGTTGTTAACATTCTTTTTTCATTCGGTTTTTCCAGTTACGAGTCCTTTTTTAAAGCTGACCGTTTTGTGTTCATTTTGTTTAGTTATTTTTTCGTAACAGATTTAATGTTTAGTATAGAGCTTAGAAAAAATCCGTAGTGTGAGATAGGCAAGAAGTAAGACATGTAGCGACATCAGCACGGAAAAGGGCTCTCTTTTAAAGGCAAGGAAGGGCAAAAAAAGTCAAGTGATAGCGATTGCTGTATGAGTCGTACGATTTTTGAATCAAGTATGGACAACGCCGGGTCATGCTGCTAGTTATATATAATATATAATAATAACACTAATATTATAATTATAATTATGTTATTATATTGTAATATAATAATATATAATTATATTATAATTATATCATTATTAATATATAATGATTATATATAATAATTTATTATATAGAATTATATAGAATAAACATCTATAATAATAAAATTGTATATATTAAAATAGTGAGGAAAAACAATAAGATTTATAATCCGGTGTCCTTAGCAATTATTTTTATTAAACTAAAAAACAAAAAAACAAAAACAGTGCCGATACAAAAAGTAGATCAAAATATTATAATTATTTTCTTTTACGGTTGTCTATGTTTGTGAGCAGGCACCCCCCCACACACACACGTAGACTTAACCTAACTTCGTAAGTAACATATATTTGATACATAAGTTGTCTAGGGAGATTAAATCCCATCTACCCGTAATCAAAATAGATTGAATTTTCCTTAACCTTAACAATTCAAAATATTAACATTTCTGCGCTTATAAATTAAGTAAATTTCTTAGAAAGTTATTCCTAGCATCGCGACAATGGAACAAAACCCTAGATTTTAAGTTTAATTTTTTATAATTAAATTTACAACTTTAGTTTCAGTTTTGAAACACAAAGGTCATATTTTTAAAAATAAAATAATTATTATAATAATAATACAATCTCTCTCTCTCTATATATATATTGAACACTAAAAAAATATTAAAATTTAAAATCTTCAGACACACTGGGTTGCAGATTAATATTCTTTCGTTTTTTTTTTTTATCATTATTTCATTTAGATTCCTCGAGTAGTTTCGGCCAAAATGGCCATCATCAGGAGAAGAAATATTTCTGCTTGCTGGTAGCAGTGAACTACAGAAATGAATGTCTTGATGGAGAAAATAAACTTTTGTCTCTAGTTTTCATTTGTTTTTTTTTATCTTTTTAACATGATATATATATAATTTATATTTTTAGTATACTTTTATTATTATTATATTGTAATATTAGAAGCATGTTTGTATTTTAGTCAGGGACAGTTTTTGTAATGCTGATGTTAAGTTCGAAGAGTTTGCATTCGAGAAGCATGTAGATTCCTTTAGTCTGTCTCTTACCAGGGCAGAATCAACAGCAAAATGATCCCATGCCATTTGGATGTTAACTTTTGCTTTTAAATCTCAGCTGGATATAAAGTCCACCTGTTGTGTAAAAGTTAAAAGCTATTGCTCTGCTATATCCTTAATGTCTTAACAAAAAAAAAAAAAAAAAAGAATATGCGCTAAAAATAACCTTAATTTGTTCCATTCGACACATCAAGCACCCCAGAAAACTCACCATCTGATTTAACAGACTCCTTCATTTCATTCTTCTTGAATCCCGTTAATCTTTTGCCCTTTCTTCAACCCTCCTTATAATCTTTTCTCTCACTTTCACTCCCCTGTAAACTCCTGCGTACTAGTGACATTCCCGCCTTGTTTAGTGGGAAATGATTAAAATGAACAACATCAATAATAGTTACAAAATGTTATATTACAGTCTGTGATGCAACTATTTGGAATCATTATATCGAGAAATACATCAGTAATTTTGAATCTTCAGCAATAAGATTCATTTCAATTTTAATTAAATAACATATTAGAAATTTAAACTTAAAACAAAGAACATAAAAAAAAATAAGTAAATGATTAGAGGGAAGAAAAAGAAAGGAAAAAATACAATAACGAACATTCGAACAAAAAATAAAGTAAAAAAAAGAAAAAGAAAAAAGAAAAAGGAAAACAATGAAAAAAATTAAATAACAGAATGAAACAATAGATTGAAAAGCAAAGGAGACAAAAAGAACATAAACACAATAAATGAAAAGAGAAAGAAAGTAAGGAAAAAGCAAAGCGAAAGAAAACAGAGAAGAAAGAAATAAAAAAAAAGAAATCAAAGAAACCTGAATGAAAAAGGAAGCAAGGAAAAAGGAACAAGTCAAAAAGAAAAAAAAAACAAGTAAAAAATGAAGGAAAAGGAAATAGAGAAAGAAAGAACAAGTAAGCAAAGAAAAAGAAGAAAGGAAAAAAAAATATTTTAAAGGATTACAAAGATGATAAAAAAGGAAAGATAGAAAAATGAAAGGAAAAGAAATTAAAAATGGAAGGGAAAAATTAGCGCAATAAGATAAAGAAGAATTAATTAAAGAGAAAAGTCTAAGAAATAAAGAGGGAAATAAACAAAAAAAAGAATCGCGGAAATAAAATATAAGGAAAAAATATTTCAAAAGAATACAAAGAAAAGAAGATAGAAAAAATAAAAAAAGAAAGGCAGAAGAAGCAATGAAAATATCGAATAAAAAAAGCACACACTAAAATAGATGCAAGATAAAAAAACAGGAATAAATAAATAAAGAAAGAAAGAGAGAGAGAAAGAGAGAAAGAAAGGTAAAAAAATAAAGAAAGGAAAGAAAACAGAATTCCAAGGAAAAGGAAAAGAAAAAGTAAGCAGAAATAGAAAGAATGAAATATAGAAAGCAAGAAATGAAGGAAGACGTAAAAGAAAGGATGAAAATCAAAAAGAAAGAAAAAAGAAATTAATAAAAAAAAAGGAAAGAAAGAATAAAAATAAAGCAGTGAAGAAGGAAGGAGTATATTCGATAAAAATGAATGATAAAAAATAAGAAAAAAAGAAAGGACAAAGAAACAAGTATTAAAAGTAGAGCGAGATAGCGAGACAGAGGCGGAGTGGAAAAGTCAGGGATATAGAAAGAGACATAGAGGGAGACAAAGATTGACTCAAAGAGCAAAAATACAGATAGGCATAAACAGAGAAACAGTGGGAGTAGGAGAAAGAAAGAGAGGGTGAGAGACAAAAGCGGAGAGGGGTAGGGGAAGAGAGAGGGGGGAGAGGGAGAGAATGACATGATGAAAGAAAAAAAAGGAAAAATGAAGGAAGGGATGAAGAAATGAAGAAAGTCTAAAAATAAAAAATAAAAAAAAAGTTAAATAAGTAAACAGTAAGAATATAGGAAAAAAGAAATTATGAAAATATTCAATAAAAATTAAAAAAAAAAAAACGGAAGGAAAACAAGAAGGGGAGAGAGCGAAAGAGAAGTACAAGAAAATAGAGTATCAAAGGGTTAGAGAGGGAGGAGGAGAGAGAGAGAGAGTGGGGGAGAGACAATGTGGACTAAGCCGAGAAAGGACGAAACACAAACTAAAAGAAGGGGAAAAAAGAGTTAATACAGAAAGCAAAGGAAAGAGAAAAAAGTAAAGAGAAAGAGGAGAGAGAGATGGGGAGGGAGATGTGTATTGGACCAGAAAAACGGACAAAAATATACAAAGAATATCAATAGAATTCAAGTAAGGAAGACATAATTGAAGAAGTAGAGAAAGAGGCTGACAGTGAGATATATAAAAAAAGGGACACATAAAAAGAGGTAGAAAGAAAGAAAGAAAGAAAGAAAGAAAGAAAGAAAGAAAAAAAGAAAGAAAAAAAGAAGTAATGAGAAAGAGAGACATAGAAATAGGGACAAAATATAGCAGAGAACAAAATGAATATAGAAGACAGGGAAGGAATTATGAAAGAAGGAAATAAAGACAGAAGAAATAAGAATTACAGAAAATGAAAACAGTAAAGAAAAATAAAGAATATATTAAAAAAAAGGAAATGATAAAAAAAAAAAACATAGAAAAGAAAATACGAAAATGAACGAGAAGCAATCTGCACAAAATAGAAAAACGGAGATAAAAAAACGACTGAACACACAGTGGACTGCTAAAATAGAGGGGAAAAAATCCTTTACAATAAATAAATAAACAAACACTGAAATGAAAAAGGAAACAGCAAACGCAAAAATGCGAATACCGAAGCCAAAAACAATGATGGATGTTCGCCTCGTTGCACTAAAAATGTAGAGACGGCCCATTGCGCATGCTCGGCATGTCCATGATGGCGGACACTGTTCTGACCCAAATTGCGTATCATCAGGCTGAACACGCTCTGGCTGTCATTTTTGCGAGGATTGCGCGAAGAGGGTGTTGGGGATTTCTTCCTTCACTTCTCCCGCTCCGGACTCTGTCATGATTTCGTCCACCCCATTTGTCAAGTGGAACTCCTTCATCGCACTTTACCCACCAGAAACAAGATTAAAATAAGTAAACGAAAGAGAAAAAGGGGAAAGAACTGTGAAAGGAGTGATGCATGTCTTAGCTAATACATTTGTTCTCAGATTTAACGCACAGATTAAAATAACACCACTGGTGTTGTGATGGTAATAATGGTGTTGTTGGGGTGGCGGCTCTGCAAGACAAAGAAAATGGATAAACAGAACGATTTCTCAAAGGGTGGGAGAGGCAGAACCCGGTGTTGGAAATGAATAATGGAGGAATATTTTAAAGAGTTAAGAGCAAGGAATTATTAGGTAAGCTAGCGAAACATATGAATAAAAGAAAAGTAGATTATATATATATATATATATATATATATATATATATATATATATATATATAGCATGGTTCAAATCGATCTGAAGTCAGGAAGTCCCTTGAGCACATTCTGCTGCAAGTAACACGATGCTGAATAATTACAAAGCGACAAATGAAATTCAATAAACTCAATATATATATATATATATATATATATATATATATATATATATATATATATATATATGGTGTGGCAGAAATAACTTACTACTGAAATATCTTCAAAAATAATGGCAAAACATTAGGTAGATGAAGGAACTCACACACGCACGCGCACACACAAGGATATATCTATATCTATTTATCTATCTATCTATCTATCTATCTATCTATCTATATATATATATATATATATATACACGCATATATATATATATATATATATATATATATATATATATATATATATATGGATATATTGATATACACATATATAATATAAAAGACTCAAACACTAATATTCTATGGTTATAATTTATTACACTGGAATCGTAATCACAATCCAATTCACCAGACCTACAAATTCAAAAAGAAATCGAAAAATATAACTATAAAAAAAAAAAAATTAGTGAGAGTGTATGTGTGGGAGTGGAAAACAAGTGTGAGAGACAGAGAAAAGATGCAACGAATGGTAATGGACTCTTCCCTCATTTACGACGTATGAGTGTCTTTCAGTTCAGTTTTTATGTTTATGTCTCGAACGAGACAACAATCTTGCACGGGATTTACAAACAAGTCCACTCGAGGGACATGCTGAAGGGTTGACTATCATATAGGCTGATGTATTAACCCAAGATTTAGTGTTGGTTCTTAATTCTCTAAGATGCTTCAGACGATTCGTTTTAAAGTTATAACTTGGCGGCAGGTGTTTCTCCAGGTTGCCCGGTTTTCAACTGCAAGTTCGAACTCCTCTATAGGGATGTTTGCAGCATTGATATATATATATATATATATATATATATATATATATATATATATATATATATATATATTGTGCGTATTTAGGCAGCATTTTTCATTCATACAGTTTCATAAAATAATATAGACAAGTGTTATTAAACATCAGACGTTATGAAAAGAATTTACATAAAATAAATAGACAACACTTGACTATATTATTTAATGAAACAAGCATATATATATATATATATATATATATATGTATGTATATATATATAAACAATCCATACCTTCATAAAATCATCCTTGATAATGGCTAAAAATATAAAAACGTCACTCTTTTAATCATAAGTCCTATGCTGGTGGACAGACTCAGATATAGATTTTGAGGGAATGGCTAGTTACTCCGACCAATAAACAATTTTTAGCGTCTTTACATTAGCAGTTGAGACACATGGCATCAATAAAGACAATATATAGCTGTCTCCTTATGAGGAAACTTTAATTGACCGAGCAGCCAGTGCTTCCGTCGTTTGAAATTAATCAGAATCTTTCTATGAAAACATTTTTCCGGAAAATAGATTTCTCATGACCAGTTGCTATTATCATGCTTTCCAGTACTGATGAGACTTTCCTTCCTAAACCTTTGTTCCAAATAGTGTGGAATGTCAGCACCTTGATTATGTCATTATTTCCTCTTCATGTTACATGTGTTATCCATTTATTTGGTGTGAGGGGTATTCTGTTATTTTGTAATATTCTTTGCTTGGGATTCTGTAACACTACTTTCAAAGAAAGAAGTTCCCCGTAAAGACCTACAGTGTTCATCAACTCGAAGCTATTTTAAGCATTGGTCTAAGAAAACAGTTGTGCACATGTGGCAGTTTAAATATTTCTGAACGAGTTTGGTGCCATGAATGACAGCTATGGTTAGCATAAACAGCCCCTGACATGAAAATGCGTTTTACGCAGAGCGGATACCATGAAATCCCTCCAAGACAAAAAAATTGTACCAATTCCCATCGACAAAGCTTGACTGACGTTCTACTATAGATTGTGTATGCTAAATAAAAGTGTCAATTTAAGTGAAAGAAACAACAGAACCAACCATATTGTTTAGAATTTAACGACCCCTGTCTGTGGTTCTAACACCTTGGGCATGCAACCCTGACAATTGGGAATTGTCTTGGTTTAAGTTTTAATATAAACCTGAGGAAAGCACGGAAAACGGGCATTCGGTTACAAAAGTTGTGAATTCTACGGATCTGATGCCTTTGTCTCGAAGATGTTCTTGCTTCCTCATTGTCGAAAAGAAAATAAATATCGGACCGGTTGTCGTCTATTCTCTTTAGCTCACTTTCCCTCTTGCGTTGTCCAAGATAAAGTGATTAGCATGACCCTACATCAACGAAAAACGTGAATGAGAAATAAATCTGAAGGAATTTTCTATTGATGCAGCGTTGCGTCCTTACTGACGAAGTGCCGATAAACAACTAGAATTCAGATACGATATGGAACGTAACGGTTATAGAGTCTATAAAGTTTGGTTTGGTTCACGGTATATCAACTTCAATGGGTTATTTAATGCCGACAAGATTTTTATTGCGGGTCATATTTTCTTTATATCTATCTATCTATCTATCTATCTATCTATCTATCTATCTATCTATCGCAGTATACATTGGTTTGGTTTCTTTTACGGCATATCAACCTCAATGGGTTATTTAATGCTGACAAGATTTTTATTGCAGGTCATATTTTCTTCTATCTATCTATCTATCTATCTATCTATCTATCTATCTATCTATCTAAGTATATATTGGTTTGGTTTCTTTTACGGCATATCAACCTCAATGGGTTATTTAATGCCGACAAGATTTTTTATTGCGGGTCATATTTTCTATCTATCTATCTATCTATCTATCTATCTATCTATCTATCTATCTATCTATCTCAGTATATATTGGTTTGGTTTCTTTTACGACATATCAACCTCAATGGGTTATTTAATGCCGACAAGATTTTATTATCATACATATTTTCTATCTATCTATCTATCTATCTATCTATCTATCTATCTATCTAAGTATATATTGGTTTGGTTTCTTTTACAAATATCAACCTCAATGGGTTATTTAATGCCGACAAGATTTTTATTGCGGGTCATATTTTCTATTTCTATCTATCTATCTATCTATCTATTATCTATCTATCTATCTATCTAGGTATATATTGGTTTGGTTTCTTTTACGGCATATCAACCTCAATGGGTTATTTAATGCCGACAATTTTATTGCATTATTTATCCCTATCTATCTATCTATCTATCTATCTATCTATCTATCTATCTATCACAGTTTTGGTTTGGTTTTTTTTTAAACCTCAATGGGTTATTTAATGCTGACAAGATTTTATTGCAGGTCATATTTTCTATCTATCTATCTATCTATCTAAGTATATATTGGTTTGGTTTCTTTTTCCTCAACCTTTTTTTAAAAAGATTTTTATTGCAGGTCATATTTTCTATCTATCTATCTATCTATCTATCTATCTTCTTTATCAAATCTAAGTATATTGTTTGGTTTCTTTTACGGGGTTATTTAATGCCGACAAGATTTTTATTGCATATTTTCTATCTATCTATCTATCTATCTATCTATCTATCTATCTATCTATCTATCTCAGTATACATTGGTTTGGTTTTTTACGACATATCAACCTCAATGGGTTAGTTAATGCCGAAAAATTTTATTGCTGGTGGACTATTTCTGGGAGACTTTTTTTTGGGAAATTTATAGCTAGTAATATTTTTTTTCAAAGAATGTATAGCTGTTTGTATTGCTGGTACTTTTTCCTTTTTTTTAAAAATAATTGCTGATTGTAATTTTTCCTTAAAAAATTATTGCTGGTAATATTTTTTTTATTGCAAAGTATTTTCAGTGTTAAAACCTATTTTGACACTAGTTTGAGTGTTAACTATTTGCCCATAGCTGGGACCCTAACAGGTGCTACCACCCCTGGCCAGGGTGGACCTGGGAGCACCAGCAATTAAGAGGTGGTTCCACGCTCCTTAAAACCTCCGGGTCAGAGGCCTTGCTGTTGGACCTAGTTTATAGCCTTACCCAGGACGCGGATGTAGTTTATCTTCATACCCAGGACAGGGACGTAGTTTATCGTCTTACACAGGACGAAGTCTATAAAGAGACGACAATAGGGAATATGAAACTCGTGAGTGTTTATACTGTCTCAGCAATGATGACAGTAAAAAGTATGGAATCTCTATTAATTTAAATACTTACTAGCTGGCCATAAAGAACTTTGTACGTTGTTGGCAAAAAATGTATTGTCAGTGGTGGTGACAATGAAGAAATTCAGTATTATATAGATAACAACAAATTTCAGTGTTATATATATATATATATATATATATGTTTGAAACAGTACAGAAGCGTATTAAGGCATAAAAAGCAAGAAATTTTATATTGTATGCCATGATAGATTTAAAACAAACACACACACCAGTATAATATAATTTTTATAATAATTTTCTCTCCCTGTCAAATCATTCATGTCATCCATGACAGACTTTTTCTTTTCTTCATAATTTTAGCTCCCCGTTAACAGTTCTGATGAGAGGGGACGAAACCGGTCGACTGGTTTGTGTTTTTGTTTTAAATCTATCATGGCCTACAATATAAAATTTCTTGCCTTTTATGCCTCAATATATATATATATATATATATATATATATATATATATATAAAAAAGGCTTAAACACTAATATTCCATGGTCATAATTTCTTCCATTGGAATCGTAAATACTATCCAATTCATCAGACCTACAAATTCAAAAAGAAAACAGAAAAAAAAACAACTCCGGAAATAAAAACAGAATTTAGAGAGAGTGTAAGTATGAGGAGGATGGAAATTAAACCTTAACAGAGAGAATTTTAGGAGAGGTGGGTGGAAGGGGTTTAATTAAGAGAAAAAAATGAATGTTGATGGATGTATAATGCATAAAGATATATTTCGTGGTGACATACACACGCCATAGACAATCTAATGTTAGAATAAGAGGGAGGGAAAGACGAGGTGGTTGAGAGAGATGGGACGAAGGAAAGTAAAATTGCATTTACTTAAAGGGCCGATTTGTAATTGAGAAAATTTGACAAATTTAATATCGACTACAGGTTACAAATCAAATATAAATATTTTCCACTAATATTATATATATATATAAGGTATATATATATATATATATATATATATATATATATATATATATATATATATGGTGATTTGAAAAGTAACTCTTTATTTTATGTATGAGTAGCCAGCCAGGAGTCCTGACTTTAACACCCTGTGACTTTTTTTTTTACTTTGGGGTTGGTTAAAGGAGTAAGTCTACTATATCAAACAAAGACTTTGGATGAAGGTCGACTAAAAAAGTTGTTTCCATACCACAAGAGTTCCCGGTGAAATCAACTGACGCGATTCCTGGAAAACGAGAAGTGGAGAGAGCGAAAGAGAAGCAGATAGCGTAATCTGGTGCTCATATCGTAGTTCAAATAAAACCTCATGCTAAACGCTTTCCTCTCATATCTATTTCTTAAAGATTATAGTTAATAAATAGATTCTAAGTTTGTTTTGTTTTTTTAAATAGGGAGATACTTTTCAATCTACCTGTATATATATTTGTTTTTTTTTCTGTATCGCATTTTCAGATGTCTCTTTATAGAGAAAACGTAACACTCGAGAAAACCAAAGAAACGCAACACATATGCATAGACAAAACCTTATCAATACAAAATAATCTGATTGATTCATTGGCATTTTTTACTGCTTATTAACTATTACCAATTTATTTAAAGCTAGAAAATATTTTTTAATTCCTACGAATTTTTGGAAGATAATACTGATTTACTGATACAAGTCCTACTCAGTAACCCATAGCTAGAAGAAGAAAATATGGATTCATACATTTCCCAATGGTATTTGCTCGACTGAAATTAGAACTCGGCTCTCCGATTTCAAACTCCGAACTGTTTTCTATTGAACCACTCGCACATCGAAGCTTACAGCGATTGGCATTTCCAAGCGGTAACCCATCTAGTTATTGACCAGGCTCGACATTGCTTAACTTCGATGATCGTACAAGAACCGGTGTTTCAGTGTGGTATAGCCGACGAAATTTTCCCTAGTAAATAGAAATAGAAAATAGTCCAGACCGGCGAAAAATGAAATTCAAATGCCTTCAATATATATATATATATATATATATATGGAGAGAGAGAGAGAGAGAGAGAGAGAGAGAGAGAGAGAGAGAGAGAGAGACATACATAGATAAGGAAAATACTAATAAGTTTTGAAATGCACTTGAGGTTTTATATATTTATAAGCAATATTTATGATACATATAAGTCTTCAACAACAATAATATATATATATATATATATATATATATATATATATATATATATATTTACCAGTTTCAATGTTTAGATTTTCAAAAGTTGGTTTGGTACTTTTTAAAATACTTATCGAATTACCGCGTGCAGCCGCTTACGTTATGGATAAAAAAAAAGGACGGACCCAACTTGTTTTATTTCTGTCGCTTATGTTGTGGAAAATACAAGCTATTTTGAGGGGTGTAACTTTGGCTTGTGCAGTGAGTCTTCGTTTAAATTTACTGATGATAAATGCTTCTTTGTTAATGTGTTTTTGTTCAGTGGTTTTGAAGTCACATTGGTAGAATGGGAAAACATAGAGGTTTGTCAAAAGTCGTCTATATGTTGGCAGAGAGATTTTTCTATTCTTCGGATCCCTAATTTGTTGTTAATGAAATGTCCATCGTCGCATTCTGCTGCCAGTTTGACCAGTGTAGTATTCGTGGCAACCTCTACCCGTTATAAGATATATTAAATTCTATGAGTAGCACAAGAATAGATATGAGATGTAATTGTAGATAGAAAAAATTGTTAGTCTCATAGAAATCTTAAGTAAAAAACCAGTGAAAATTCCGAAAAAAAATGCCAATTAGTTTATTATTAAAAACACTTATTATTTCTTTGGCTGTTATTTGCATTAATATGTCGATCGGAGCACTTAATATTTCCGTCAAATTCGGGGGCGGGAATTTTATACAAGGTTGCTAGGCAGCATCGGCAAATATTATCATTTCATAATAAAAAAAGAAAGTTATTTCAAACAAGACGTTTCATTCCCATAGGTCCGTTTGTTTGAAAACGGTCTTAATTTTTGCATGTTTTGATGGACACGACAGAAGGGAAAGTTACCAGGTTACGGAACGACGAATAGGCAGAAAAATTTACGACAGAGAAAATGTGATTTGGTTGGGGGTGCTACTCTATTGAAAATGGCGGGAAGATAATTAGAACTATGTGATTAAGAGTTTTAATGAGTGTCTTGGAATAGCGGGATAAAGAATATGAGTAAAGCAAAAAAAAAGGGAAAAAAAAGGAAAAAGAAATATGAGAGTTAAAGAGTGGGAAGAATGAAGAAAAAGACAATGGAGGTGAATATAAATAAAATAGATGTGGAAGAGAAAGAAAAGAAAACATGGCTGGAGAGAATGAAACGATAGATAAGCGAGGGAAACAAAGAAAAATGGTTACGAAGGAGGAGGAGTGAAAAGATGTTTAAGAGAAAGAAAGAGAGAAGAAAATGTAGAAAAGAAACGGAACAAACGAAATGGAGGATAAGGAGGAAAAGAAAAGATAAGAAAGAAAAAAAAGAACAAAGTAAGCAAGACAAAAAGTGTTGAAGGAAGCAAATAAATAAAGAAGGAAGGAAAGATATCAAGAAGTTGAAGGAAACACCAAAGAAGACCAAAAGAGAAGGAAGAAAGAAGAAAGGAAAAAGAAAGGAAGAGGCAAACGTGAGTTGAAGGAAGGAAACCAGAAAAGAAGGAAGGAAAGATGTCAAGAACGAGAAGGAAAAAACGAAAGAAGACCAAAACTGAAGGAAGAAAAGAAGGAAGGAAAAAGAAATGAAGAGGTCAAAGTGAGTTGAAGGAAGGAAAACAGAAAAGAAGGAAGGAAAGATGTCAAGAACGATGAAAAAAACGAAAGAAGAAAACTGAAGGAAGAAAAAAAGGAAAAAAATGAAAGAAGGTCAAAAGTTTGAAGGAAACCAGAAAATGTGGAAGGAAAGTTGTCAAGAACGAAAAAGAAAAAACGAAAGAAGACCAAAACTGAAGGAAGAAAAGAAGGAAGGAAAAGAAAAAGAGGTCAAAGTGAGTTGAAGGAAGGAAACCAGAAAAGAAGGAAGGAAAGATGTCAAGAACGAGAAAGAAAAAAACGAGAAGACCAAAACTGAAGGAAGAAAAGAAGGAAGGAAAAAGAAATGAAGAGGTCAAAAAGTGAGATGAAGGAAGGAAACCAGAAAAGAAGGAAGGAAAGATGTCAAGAACGAGAAAGAAAAAAAAACTGAAGGAAAGAAGACCAAAAAGAGGTGAAGGAAGAAAAGAAAAGAAGAAGGAAAAAACGAAAAGAAAAAAACGAAAGAAGACCAAAACTGAAGGAAGAAATGACAAAGTGAAAAGAAGTCAAAGAAGTTGAAGGAAAGAAAACAGAAAAGAAGGAAGGAAAGATGTCAAAAACGAACGAAAAAAACGAAAGAAAAAAACTGAAAAGAAAAGAAGAAAAAAACTGAAAGGAAGAAAAAATGAAGGAAAGGAAAAAAAGAAAAATGAAGAAAAGGGAAGGAAAAAGAAATGAAGAGGTCAAAGTGAAGGGAAGGAAACCAGAAAAGAAGGAAGGAAAGATGTCAAGAACGAGAAGGAAAAAACAAAAAGAAACCAAAACTGAAGAAGAAAAAAGAAGGAAAAAAAAGAAATGAAGAGGTCAAAAGTGAGTTGAAGAAGGAAACCAGAAAAAGGAAGGAAGAAAAGATGTCAAGAACGAGATGGAAAAACGAAAAAAAGACCAAAACTGAAGGAAGAAAAGAAGGAAGGAAAAAGAAATGAAGAGGTCAAAGTGAGTTGAAGGAAGGAAACCAGAAAAGAAGGAAGGAAAGATGTCAAGAACGAGAAAGAAAAAACGAAAGAAGACCAAAACTGAAGGAAGAAAAGAAGGAAGGAAAAAGAAATGAAGAGGTCAAAGTGAGTTGAAGGAAGGAAACCAGAAAAAGAAAGGAAAAGATGTCAAAGAAAAAAAAAAAACGAAGAAGAAAAACTGAAGGAAGAAAAAAAAAGGAAGGAAAAAAAATGAAAGAGGTCAAAGTGAAAGGGAAACCAAAAAAGAAGGAAGGAAAGAAAAGGAAAAAAAAGAAATGAAAAAGAGGTCAAAACTAGTTGAAGGAAAACCAGAAAAAAGGAAGGAAATGGAAAAGAAAAAACGAAAGAAAAACTGAAGGAAGGAAAGGAAAAAAAAAAAAGGTCAAAGTGAGTTGAAGAAGTCAAAAACAGAAAAAAAAAAAACGAAAGAAGACCAAAACTGAAGGAAGAAAAGAAGGAAGGAAAAAGAAATGAAGAGGTCAAAATGAGTTGAAGGAAGGAAACCAGAAAAGAAGGAAGGAAAGATGTCAAGAACGAGAAAGAAAAAACGAAAGAAGACCAAAACTGAAGGAAGAAAAGAAGGAAGGAAGGAAAAAGAAATGAAGAGGTCAAAGTGATTTGAAGGAAGGAAACCAGAAAAGAAGGAAGGAAAGATGTCAAGAACGAGAAAGAAAAAACGAAAAGAAGACCAAACTGAAGGGAAGAAAAGAAGGAAGGAAAAAGAAATGAAAGAGGTCAAAGTGAGTTGAAGGAAGGAAACCAGAAAAGAAGGAAGGAAAGATATCAAGAACGAAAAGGAAAAAGACCAAAACTGAAGTAAGAAAAAAGAAGGAAGGAAAAAAAAGAAATGAAAGAGGTCAAAGAGGAAGAAACCAGAAAAGAAGGAAAAAAGAAAAGAAGGAAGGAAAAACGTCAAGAAGGAAGAAAAAGAAAAGAAAAAAGAAATGAAAGGAAAGAAACCAAAAAGAAGAAGGAAAGAAAAACGAGAAGGAAAAAACGAAAAAGACCAAAACTAAAGAAGAAAAGAAGGAAGGAAAAAGAAATGAAGAGGTCAAAGTGAGTTGAAGGAAGGAAACCAGAAAATGAAGGAAGGAAAAAAACGAAAGAGAAAACTGAAGAAGGAAGGAAAGATGTCAAAGAACCAGAAAAGGAAAAAAAAACGAAAAAAGAAAAAAAAAAGAAGACCAAAACTGAAGGAAGAAAAGAAGGAAGGAAAAAAGAAATGAAGAGGTCAAAATGGAGTTGAAGGAAGGAAAAAAATGAGGAAAAAGATGTCAAACGGAAGAGAAAACGAAAAAACTGAAGAAAGAAAAAAAAAAAGACCAAAACTGAAAGGAAAGATGTCAAGAACGAAAAAAAAAACGAAAAGGAAGGAAAAGAAAAAAAAAAGAAATGAAAGGGTCAAAGTGAGTTGAAGGAAGGAAACCAGAAAATGAGGAAGGAAAGATGTCAAGAACGAGAAAGAAAAACGAAAGAAGACCAAAACTGAAGGAAGAAAAGAAAGGAAGGAAAAGAAATGAAAGAAAAAAATGAAAAACCAGAAAATGAGGAAGGAAAAGATGAAAAGAACAAAGAAAAAAAACGAAAGAAGACCAAAACTGAAGGTTGAAGGAAGAAAAATAAATGAAAACCAGAAAGAAGTTGAAGGAAGGAAACCAGAAAAGAAGGAAGGAAAGATGTCAAGAACGAGAAGAAAAAACGAAAGAAGACCAAAACTGAAGGAAGAAAAAGAAAAACTGAAATGAAGAAAAGTTGAAGGAAGGAAAAAAAAAAGGAAGGAAAGATGTCAAAACGAGTTGAAAAAAAACGAAAGAAACCAAAAAAGAAGGAAGAAAAGAAGGAAGGAAAAAGAAATGAAAGGTCAAAATGAAAGGAAGGAAACCAAAAAGAAGGAAGGAAAGATGTCAAGAACGAAGGAAAAAAACCAAAACTGAAGGAAGAAAAAAAAGGAAGTGAAGGGTCAAAAAGTTGAAGGAAGGAAACCAGAAAATGGGGAAGGAAAGATGTCAAGAACGAGAAAGAAAAAAAAAATAAGACCAAAACTGAAGGAAGAAAGAAGGAAAAAAAAGAAAGAAGAGTCAAAAGGAGTTGAAGAAAAACCAGAAAATGAAGGAAAAAGAAAGAACGAAGAAAAAAACGGTGAAGGAAACAAAAAAGGAAGTTGAAATG